CTACCCCATAGACTTAGGTTTAAATAAGATAAATAATGTAAGCCAAGTTCTTGTACAGGTTCCAAGTGTATAGCAAGCACTTAATAAAATATTTTTATTACTTTCTTATAACAAAATGAGTCCCATGGGATCCCACTTCTGGTAGTCTATCATAGAATCTGGGGTTAAAAAAAAACAAACAAAAAACCCAGACTCAAATTTCAGAGGGGCAAAGGAAATTTCTAGAAAAAATTTCCAGCACCCCCAAGAAAGGACAGGTGACAAACACTATAAAAATCAGATCATAGGGGAATTTCTCCTTCTGGATAAGGTAGGTTAAGAGTAGCAGGGACTAGTTTTAACCTGCAGTCCAGAACAACTGAAAACTAACAGACAAAAATACATGAAACAATGGCTACAGATGTTGGTCATTAGGCAACTCAGGAAGGTAATCCTTGAGAAAAAGGACCCAGGCTAGTGGAGTCCCACAGTTGTCCTAGCTTACTGCTTTGATAGCTGCTAGGCCACAGCACAGGGAGGGGAAGCTCAACTCGGAGGTCCGTCTCTCTGAGTAGAGGTTATAGAATTAGGATGCGAGGAATGCCCATGTAGATCCAGAGTGGAGAGGACCTCATAGAAATCTCCTCTAGCTTTCAGCTGAGTATTGGCCAGCACATGTGAAGAAAATGCCTAAATCTGAGAGAAGAATCACCCAGATAAACAACTTCTCAAAGTTAAAGAGGATAGAATAATTCAGTTCTCCCCAACAGAAAAGAAAATCTTGTAATTCACGGGGCTTTCAGGAGAACATTCAAAAAGGTGTTGTCTCAGTGTGAGAAAAAATTTACCCTCGAATAAGCACTGTGATGGTTTTAACTAACGCAGACTAAAAGTAAGCCTCGAAAAGGAATGAATTGTTTACAAGTCATTTCATATCACCCAAAACAAATCTTCACATATTTTTAATATCAAAATATAAAACAGCCACCAAAGTAAAATTCACAATATCTAGCATTCAACAAAAAATTCCCAGACTTTCAAAGAAGCAGGAAAATGCAACTCATATTGAGGAGAAAAATGTATCAGTGGAAATGGGTCCAGGCATTACACAGATGATACAATGAATAAAAAAGGACACTGAATGGGTTATAAGTATATTCTATATGTTTAAGAAGGTAGAGGAGTGAAGAAGCATGTTAAATGCACAAATAGAAGATAGAAAAAGGCACAAAACAAAAATCTACAATGTTCAAAATGAAAACATATTGGATGAGATTGATACCAGATTAGACACTGGAAAAGAAAACATTAGTCAAGTTGAAGATATAGGAACAGGAACTATCCAAAATGAAAGACAAAAAAAAAAAAAAAGGAAGAATGAACAGATGACAGAGAGTCAGTGATCTAGAGAACAAATTTCAAGGAGTTTCATGTGTATTAACTGGTGTCCCTATAAAGGGAGAAGGATGAGGGACAGAGAAAATATGTGACAATAACATCTTTTCTCCATTATGTAAGCAATGTATCTTCATCATATATCACTCCCATTTCCCTGATAAAAAGAAGAATGCTCTTAGAAGGCTGATGACCCAGATAAGAGAAGATGGGCAAGAGAACTATTCCTGTTCATTCATCTTCGGGAGGGTAATTGTGAGTTTCACCATGGAATCAGCCTTCTGAAGTAATATACAAATAGGAAACCTTGAAATTACCCAGTGGGTTTTTTAAAAATCAAAAATAAAGTAAGAAATAGTCTTATTAGGTCAAGTGCTTCAGATACTTCATGTGACTCTGAAATTCCTTCATTTTTTACTATATTTTCATGTCATGTTATATAAGTAAGATGTTTCGAATGTCATAACTGCACATTGCATCGTAACAGTACTTTTAAGGTAGCTATTTAGGATTCGTGAGCAGATCTGTTCTAAGATTTTCCAATTTTCCCAAAGCTTCTTGAAATTCATGGAATGCTTTAGAGTATGTAACATGATATAGTATTGAGCTGGTACATTTTTTTGTGAATAAGAAGAAACTTTGCCTCAAATAGGGCTGATTTATAGCTTAATTCAGTATTCTATACATACAAAGTCCTCCAAAAACAAACAAAAAGTCCTTGGCTGATTACCTGGCTGAGAGTCCACATATTTACATGTGGAAGGAAATCTTCTTTCATGAGAATCATGATCTATTTGCCTTTCCCTTTTGTTAGGAGAAAAAAAATCAGAGACTTGAAGGACTATTATACTATGTAATGTTAAACTTTATGTGATTGTTCATAGAGTCCTTTCCAGGGACCACACAGCAGCAAGGACTATATGCTTACATGAATATTTTTGCCCTACTAAGATTTAGATGAAAACTCTTTTAAAATCTTGCTATTTGGTTATACTGCCCAGGGATGCTGAACAATGAGTAAAAAATAAAATCAAACAAGCTAGTATTTCCCGTAGAAACTGGTGACATGGTACTATAAGCTGGAGTCCCAACTAAAGTTTCATACTATCTAGCACCAGTACTCAGACTTATTATTTTCAATGTGCATGGATGCACTTTAATTTCAAGAGCAGAAGATCAAATCCAATCCATCAACATTTAAGCAATGCTCATTATGCCCACAGATTCTTGAGAGAGTCACAGTCAGGCTTGATGGATAATCTATAAATCTATAAGATAGAGTTCATGGTTTTCCTTTTTGTTTTGATCTTGGTGTAAAACTTGTAATAATTGATCATTATAGAACAAAAAGAACTGTGGCTTTTGATTTACAACTCACATAGCTGATATGTTATATTATCAAAATGTATGTTCTGTTGTATTTTAGAAAGTTTAAAAAATTCTCCTTTGGAACAAAAGGACATTATTGACACATCATAATAATGGGGAAGGTTGTCCTCTGCCAAAAAGGAAATGTTAGGATAGGAATGAAGCCTCCCACAGATTTCACAACAGTCACAGAGCAGCTTGGGAAAGAGACACAAAAAAATGCATGTTCTTTTTGACCAAAGACTTTTGGTTAACAGGTGACCTAGCTGGAATTGTTGCAAAATTTCAACATGCTTTTAGGATGGCAGGACAAGTGTTTACCAGAAAACCACCTTCAGTTATGTTCATCTAGAAAGGCCTAGCATTTTTGCCGCAACTTTTTTCCTCCTCAACTTTTACTGGATCATGGGTATCAATCATTAGGACACGGCTTCCTGATCTCACAGTGTTGGGGGAGGTCATTGAGAGGATATGACAACTGGTTGATCTGTGAGCTGGACCCCAGAAACTGGAGGCTCCTTACCCTCTCCCCTGTGCTGGCATGTGCGTTCTATCTGCCTTCTGATCCCAGAAGCTACCCCAAGGACGTAGCCTCAAGACATTGATGTGGTGTTGAGACTATGTGAACAATAAACATATCTGAACCCAGTGAAGGTCTCTCCATAAACTTTCAGGCTTACTAGACAAAAATGGAGATCTACTACTCTCTCAGCCACCCAAGAAGATCTCATATGCAAGGTCCCTTGTTTATTAAAACTGCCACCTACCAAATCTTGCATGGTCTGCCTCTTTCTTTGGTGTCTCGCTGTGCTCTTTGTACAGGCACTGGTTTTAGATTACACCTGGGAAGAACCCGAGAAGTTTGTGAACCAACACATACCATTTTGAATACTTCTGAAATTCTTATCAGTGCCATTAAAGATTCTATTTTGATATTCTAGAGAAAACTTGTGAAGTTAAAGGAGGAAGTTATCTGGGAAAAACTTAAGTTCTGTGCTAATCATACATCATTTTTATTAAAACAATGTATAAAAATCTCCATACTGTATATTTAATGACTGATTTCAGTATATTCTTTTACTCCTTAATCATCTATTTCCAATATCATCAAAAAGAAAAGTTTAAGGTTCTACTCCCCAGAAAACATTTTAAAGGAAGCATTTTACTAACTATAAAATATTAGACTGTTCTATTTTTAATAATCCACTGTTAGTAACATGATAGACATTACTCATACTGATAGATTTTTTAAAACAAATTAAATCCATTAGAAGCAGCAGAAAACAGCCACTTATTCATCAACACAGAATGAAAGATAAATAAATTAGACTTCATATAACTAAAAGCATATACCTTTTGGAAAATATTTATATATGAACTTTTAAGCAATTTATGGAGCTAATTGGTTTCAACTGCTATAGAAGAACAAAACGTGAACAAACAATAATATTTAAAAAATGTCAAACACAATGCAAGAAATCAGGAGGTACTTTGCCAAAATAAGCGACTGACAGCAGAATAGTTTCAAAAGGAAACATTTAGTAAAACAATCATCTGGCTAAGGTAAGAATTAAGAATTTTATTTTTAATTAATTCAGCATGCTGACAAGTTGGCTCCACCCGGATTTCTGCCCCCCTCATGATGGTACAAAGACAAGCGGGCAAAGTAAGAATTGTAATTGTAATTGTAATTACTTTTGTAATTGTAATTGTAATTGTAGTTACTTAGTTAAACCAAAGAACTTTGTAGATGAATAGGTGATCTATGTTAACAGGTATCATCATAATGAAGGGAGTGGTGTAAAAATTGTAATATTCAATACTGCTTAAGCTTTATTTGATATTGATATTTAAATTATTTGTCCTATTTATCATGTAAATATACACCTTTCTTTATGAGAATTAAGTTTTCGTGTATTTTAATCCTTACTGCTTTCCTGTGAGACCTATCAGGTCACTACAACTACTGTTTCAGAGGTGGGCCCAAGCCACTATCCACTCGTGGTGTAACCTCTCTTCAAGCAACAGTTCTTGGGGCAAAGACCATGATTTACCTTCAAATATCCTCATTTTGGTGAATCAGAATCAAGGGGACTGCTTTTTCCCCTATCATATTCCCTCTACTTAAAATCTTCTTCATTTGTTAAAACCTTACTCACTTTCTAATTTTTATTTGACAATTACCTCTTCTCTGAAACAGATTCCACTGAAATCGACTGAATAACTCCTGAATGACTGAATGACTCCATAGTACCTTCTTCATAGCTGTCGTAACAACATCTATCATACCGTATCACTGTTGGTCATATGCATATCCATTTCCTCCTGCAGGACTTGGTCATCTTTAGGTCCCTCTCACACAGCCTGCTACAGGGTCTGGCATGAAGTAGCTGTTGGATAATTTTTTACAAATAAATTGAATGTGTGACACCACAGAAACCAGGTAAGAAAAACTGGGTATTGTAACTCTTCATGCTCTTAAAATAGATCCTGTCAGTGGAAGCAGAAAAGGCTTAATAGTAAGGCAGGAAGTTAATATAAATCAAAAAGAACACTTTAAAAATGTAAATAAAGGAGGAAAACAATTGGCCTAAATCCAGCCAGACACATCATTGCAACTAATGACCCTAGTAAAGATGATCAGAAGCAGGTACATTACCATCCAAAGAGGAGGATTTCATTCCTGAATCATCAAGGGTTTGCTATAATTTCTTAGACGTCCTCTTTTGGACAGGAAGAAGGATGAGAAGGATATTATTGATAATAGAGAGGCCTGATTGAGGAAGAACCCCCAGTGAAAACTGGCAATTCAGCAGGTCTCTCCAGGAAGGGTCTTCAAAACAGCATGCCTTTTATTATCAGTCTGCTGAGAGTGGAAATGGCAACTGTAGAGAGCAACAAGGAAATATTCATGGAGTCCCTACCTCACGCCAAATCCTGTACTAGGAGATTTCATGGATTGCTAGATGGAGTTAGATATCATGGTCCCCATTTCACAGGGAGGGAAACTGAAGATCGGAGCAACTGCATGAGCTGCTGATGTTGCAAACTCAGTGGGGAACTTTGATCACACCACGTTTCAGGGCTTTTCCTATTATGCCCTACACCCACTGCTTTTAGTGATGGGAAACACCATTACTCACCTACGGCATTCTATTAAAACTATTCCCATTTTAAGACACTACGCTTAGGCTCTTTCACATTTGCTAAATTGTAATTTGAGGATTCCTTTCAAGTGAAGTTGAAGAATTTGTCTATATTCTTTAGGCATCTCATGGAAACCACGTTTGGGTAAGTTGTTGTCGTAGTAGTGATGGCTGACTGGTGTGTCTTTAATCGTTCTAGAAAAGGGCCAAAATCCATACAGCTTTACGTGCTCACACAGTTCAACTGCCACACTTGTGATCATCAAGCCAGAGGACAGGCGAAACTCCGTCACACCTTCAGTTCTCCAGAAAAGGGCAAGATTTCTCAGGTATTTGGGATGGAAAAATATAACCTTCTGTCTTGCTTGAGACTCCTTTAGGGTGTCATACACTTTGAAAGAGGCTATTGTGTTGGCCCTGAAAGAAAACGCTGGAAGAAGAAGGAATGCATCTCCATAGGTCGCAATGTCCTCTAGAAATATTTCTTTCTTTTTCTTTAAGTTCCCATATCTGCCAAATTTAAAAAAAAATTGTCATTATAATCAAAGTGGCCATTTTGGTTATATAAGGCTGAATTTACCTTTGACCGAGCCATTGAACCGTTTATGTCACTGTTGTATATAAGAGACAAACAGTAGACTCAGAGTCCAAGTATGAGTAAGCCTCCTATAAACATCAAGAGCTAGGTCCTTCATCTCTCTTTTGTGGTGTTCCTAGGCTTTCATTTACATTTTCTTATCAGACTATATCCTTACTGGACACACATTTCTTATATTATTTTATCTTCTAACTCAGTAATTTTTTTCTCTAAAGCAACTTTTTTTTAAAGGATTTTATTTATTTATTTGACAGATAGACACAGCGAGAGAGGGAACACATGCAGGGGGAGTGGGAGAGGAAGAAATAAGCTTCTCGCCCAGCAGGGAGCCTGATGTGGGGTTCGATCCCAGGACCCTGGGACCATGACCTGAGCTGAAGGCAGACGCCTAACGACTAAGCCACACAAGGTGTCCCTCTAAGGTAACTTTTTGATACAGAAATACCTTCCAAATAATGATTGATTTTTCTTAAACACAGGACACTCTTAAAATGTCTACACATTAAAAAATTCCCTAAGCTGTATACCGGTGACCTGTGTATATTTTTTTACATGTGATCATAAAAGTTTCCTTGAAAGAACCTAAAATACCTACATTCATACACATATACACACACACACACATTTTAAATATCCTCAATGTATTGTGATAGATTTGTGTTTGATTTAAATAATACCTTAGTAAATATACTAATATGAATGGTTGTGTCTAGAAAGTAAACTTTTAGGATGCAGGTATAATATTGCATATTATCTTAAAAGATACTAGAACTATATGGGTATATAGTTTTAGTTTGTATTTTATTAATAATGATTATTAGTTTTGGTGAAAACAGTGGAGTAAAACCATGTATGGGATTTTTATTAACCAGGAACATTTTGTCGTGGCTACACTGTGAAAAATGAAATATGGGAATTATTTTTTGGTAATAAGCTATATGTAGTAAAGACTTTTTTTTTTTTTTTTTTTTTTTTTTTTGGCCAGCTTCTCTTAGGGTGCATTCCCTGAAGTTTCTAAATAAACTGTTTCATTAGGAAACTACTCCCAAGATAAAAGAGTAATGTTAAAATTCTGAAAGAAAGTTCTCAAAAGTAACTTCATTCTTGTTAAAAAAGAAGAAGTGATAAATAAGTTTTCACTTGATTAGTAGTGTTCCACTTACGACATTAGAAGTGTAATTGGTTGGGATGCCTGGTTGGCTCAGTGGTAGAGCATACAACTCTTCATCTCGGAGCTATAAGTTTGAGCCCCACACCAGGTGTAGAAATGATATTAAGAAATAAAAAATAAATATAAATAACATAAAAAAATAAAAAAATTAAGTCTTTAAAATAAAATAGAATGGTTTTCTTTAAAAAAAGAAAAGGAGAGAGAGGTACAATTGATCATACCTCTTATGAGCTACAACCTTGAGAGGAAGTAAAAAATTATGAATATATTATATTCTTCTATCTTTTCCCCAAAGTCATTCCAGCTATATTACATTGCAAGTCATTCCAGCAACAAGATTAGTGTTCAAACTAAGAAACATGTTAAACAATAAAACAAATGTTCTCAAACAGTTATGTAAGTTGGACATACTTACTTTAGTTTTATGATACTGGGATTTACAGTCACAACATTGGTTTTACTGCCAACATCTTTACTCACATTTCCTGTAATTGGAGGAAGGTTACACCTGAAATTTGGGGGGGAAAAAAAGCATTTTCAAAATGCAAGTTTAAAAAAAAGCGCATACCCACACATGTACACATACAATCACTGTTGGTTTATTGGAGAAAATGATGGCTATTAAGGAGTTCTGAATTGATCTGATTTCCATTTAAAACTTTAATAAGTACTGAAATCCTTTTTTTTATATAAAAAAAGATTTTATTTATTTATTTGACAGAGAGAAAGAGAGAGAGCATAAATAGGGGAAGTGGGAGAGGGAGAAGCAGACTCCACCATGAGCAGGGAGCCCAATACAGGGCTTGCTCCCAGGACTCTGGGATCATGACCTGAGGTGAAGGCAGACACTTAATGACCAAGCCACCCAGGTATCCCTAAGTACTGAACTCTTAATTGACACTTCAACATTGCATGAAATATACAAATTTGGTAAATGCTTTTAATATTAAGACCCTTAAGTATATCAAAATCAGAAATGACAATTACCTTGCTAGCTGCTGAAGAATTCATAATCCTTTTATTAAAATTATTATTTCTATTGATTATACTTCCACAGTGTTATGGTCATCAATTTACAGGTTAAAAAAAAACAAGGCATTGCAACTAAGGTTACAGAGTATGCCAGAAGCAAAGTCTATTAAAAAAAAAACAAAACACCAAACCCTGAAATCTCCTGATTCCCATATGGGTAGTTTTTCTAGCAAATTATGCTGTTAATAAATAAAACCCTAATGTTCCTATAATGATATTTTCATATAAATGTTCTCTTCCTCTTTTGAGTACTAATTTGTTTTTAGTACTCAGAACAAATTAAGAATTGTAATTTTGAGTAATTATATTCCTTTCACAAAAAAGGGAAAGTTGGTTATGACTCCCTAAGTATTGTTTACAGAATTTCAAGTAGACCATTTCTTTTAAGCATACAAACAAAAAGAGCGTTTCTGAGTACATCCTTAGGAAAGCTGTTTCAAGTTGATGTGTTCTGCACAAACTGAGGTTGAAATAGCATTCCACACTCTATGAAACATAAAATCAAATGGACCGTGTACACCTCTCATTGATATAAAAGGTACGTCAGAAAATAATTAAACATGGCACCTTGCGAAAAATATCAATCACAGATAATACAGAAACGCCCTCATTACTGGACAACCTGTAATAACAAATCTACCTTCTAATACAGTATTATTCTTTTTAAAATCAAAGGTGATTTCCAGCAGAGTATCATAGGAGACTCCGAGGGGAGTAATGGCGTATTGTACACATAGAGTGGTAGTTGGTAAAACCATCCACTCTTCAACTCTTTTTTTATTCCTTACCCACTCAGCTAGTAGCTCCCAAACTTTTGGAATGAAAAACAAACAATAATAAGCAGTTTCCAGACTATTACTACAAAATTCTGACCGCGTAGACACAAACTAAGTACAGACTTAACATTTAAATAAATTTTAATGACCATGACCACATCTAAGCCCTCATTTGCCCTTTCATTCTGGAAAGCTCACTTCACAGGAAACTCTGTCTCAGAAACATCCCTGGCAGCAAATGCAGGATCTGGAAATAGGCACACTTACTGGAGAGTTCGAAATTAAGTAGTTGCTGAGATGTTTTTCTTTTTTAAACCTCAACTTGTATTTCGTGTGTCTGCTCTATCAGGTAAAATGGATGGGTAGCCATAATCCTCCCCACAGATGTTTTGAGAATTTTAAGTCTATGAAAAGTCTATTACAAGAAGAATTATTTAGCTTCATTATGGCTTTTTCATAGTGAGTGCTTTAACTAAATGGCTAAATCATTCAGGTATTGGCCATTTTATCATGAATCATGAGGACCACATTCAATGACTTGCTGGATTGTCAGGTCTACTGTTCAGTCATTACCTGTAGCAATAAAAACTTTATATGAGATTCAAGTAAAGCAGTGGGATTGGGGGGAGGGGGACAGTGAGCTAGTGACTGAAAGTCCAGCCTCCTTTTCAGCTGTGAAGAAACGACAGCATTAAATCAATAAGAATCAAAGGCTCTCCTCTGATGTATGAAATCAGTGCCCCTGAAATAGGAAGAAACGGATTTCGACTTACTTTTTAAAGAGGTGCATTTCAATTGAAATCCAACCTCACAGGGATGAATCACCTTTCCATCATATTCTCAAAGTGCAGAAACTCCGCGGCTTGCCTTATTAGCACAGGCACAGGGAGAAACAAATCACTTCTGCTTCTGCATTTGCAAGCTAGCTGCTACTGAGATACGAACACTTTAAAAGACCAGAATCTAGAAGCTCCACGATTTCGTTTCTTAATTTCAAGCCAGAAAACGAAACAATGATGTTGTGTGGCAATACAATGCTTAGGTCGGCATTTTCTCAAGTATTATCTGAGAACAAAAGTTTCTTGAAATGCTCTGTTCATATATACATACATATATATATATATATGAGATATTTATACATATATATAATATGTTTATATATATAAATAAATATATATTTTTTCCCTTTTTTCAGGTGAGCCTGGCAAATGTTGTTCTCTGGAGCCCTTCTGAGGGAGCCATGGTATCCTTAATACAATGTAGGCTCTGACAAGTCCCGCAGTGAAGACCCTCTTTCACCATGATTTCAGAGTTTCAGCGAAGTGGCCAAAGCACAGTTTTTTTCCTTCTGGTATTAACATTCTGAGGAACTCATGATCCATTTAACACCTCAGGAAAGTCTACCCAAGTAATTTGTAGACTTAAGCAACACAGCTCAAAGGTCAAAATTTACACGGAGGAGCTTTACAGCATCCCTTTAAAATATCCAACTGACCTTTGGTTTCAAGGAAACCCGTCTGACAGGTCTTACCTAAAAACGAAGTCGGATTTGTCTATTTCAGCTCCACAAAGAGACTTATTCAGAATTCCCCCGTTTCCAACCACTGCGCACTGATTGTATGGGTACTCCATGAAGGGCTGAGACTAGCAGAAGGAAGAGAGAAACCATCACAAAATAGCTTTAGTTTCAGAACAATAAATATCATCAGCTTAATTCAAGCAGCTACATTTTTTTTAATACAGCTAAAGAAAGGAAAAGAGCGAGGAAAAAAAGGCAGAGATAGAAATGCCATAGCATGTTGATCAACTTATGACTTATAATATAAAATCTTGTAAACCTGCCTTTCATTTCTCTTGAGAGGAATATACAGCATATCATAGACCCTATGGTGTAATAATCTAACATATAATACATTTGTTTATAAAATGTAACTTAATGTGTCTTAAATCACACAATTAAGTACGTAACATTAGACTGGCAAAACCCCACACTGGGCCTTTCCAACAAACAAGAATGTTTTCAGCAAAATAGAGGAAATGAAGCAATTAGAAAGTATCATGAAGTCCTCTATTCTTGGGCATAAAATTAATAGCTAATTTAGCAGAAGTTTCTGCTAGAGTTAGGCCTTCAGGCTCAGGGATGACATGAGATTTATGCCTGCCATCTCCACAAATGACCAGCCACGGTGCTGCAGGGATGCCTACTCTCTGCTGACATATTTCAAATTGATTTCCAAGGTCCGAATCTCTTATATTTCCTCCGAGGACCCGACGTGTCTACCCCCAAAAGATTTCCCCTTTTTCCCAAGTCCTTCCCAGTCAGAAACATAACTTCTCCATTAAACAGTGCTCTTTGCCTTTGCTCATCCCTCTTCCCGACGAAATGATGGGACCCTAAGCAACACCAAGAAGGCCCAGGTTAGACACCACAGTGACATTGTCCCGATTCACCTCTTTTATCTTTAGAGGGTGAGTGGAGGTCCTCAAGGGCAGAGGACGTGTTTGTGACTTTTAACTTCCCCTCATCTTTCACCATACACCTCACATGTTGGAATGTACACAGTGACATTTCAATTAATGCTTGCTGGCTCGATGGCCCGCCCTGGAAAAAACCACCAGTGTTGAGTTGGGAGCCTCTTGGACCAGAATGGGGTAGCCAGCTGGTGAATATTCAGGAATTTTGTGAACTGTTGTGAAGCCACTGGTAAATTTAAGTCAGCCACCCTGGGGGTATGTCCAGCACTAAAATGGACCAACACTACAAATCAGGGCAGCGCATTGCCCAAAGCCAGTTTCCCAGCACCAATGGCAACACCTCAGGGCCAGTGCGGTTGTGAGAAGCCCAAAGGACTCCTGAAACCCTATGACTGTTACGTGCTCTCAGGCTCCATCTGGGTAACACCAAATGAGCAGAGAGAACTCTGATTCAGCACAGTTGGTTTGTCTCTAACAATTCAGAATCATATTGTAATCATTATACAAGAGATGCTGTTCCAAGTGCCTGACTTATTAACACATGTGAACCTTACGAGCATTTTGCTGCTGGGGAAATAAAAGCATGGGTTTAAGGAATGGCTAGCAAGTGTCAGAGCTGAGATTCAAACCCCTGAAAGAGCCCATGTTCTTATTCACCCCATGTGACACAGTTTCTCACATTCCATGAATACAATGTTAATTATGTACCTTACTTCTCTTCGTATCTGCAATTGCCTAGCAGAGGACATGGCTCTGAAGTCAATGGTTCCTAGATACCTCAGGTGATTTCAAATCCACTGTAATCCTAGCTCAAGATGTCTTTGACCTGTGTTTACTAAATGGTGCCACAAACAATTTTGAATTTTACAGACTGGATAGAATGCAAATAAACTCTTAATGGTACAACAGAAAAGATGACAGAAGAAAACATGTCTCCAATTAAGCACTCAAAATAACATATGTTTTCTCTAGTTTCTTGGTAAACTAGGGGGAAAAGCCCATATGCTTGGGGATCTCATGTTCAGTAGGAGTAACCTCTGAATTACAAATTCCAATGCTTCTTAAAACAAAGCTCCTAAGAAAGTGGAAAATGTGTGCTATGTTGAGCAAGTCCTGCTCATTGCTCACTCTGGTCCAAAACCAGCTTTGCTTTCTTTTCAGGTAACTTAGCAAAGGGTTTGGAGGAAATGACTTTACGACATTCATCAGAAGTGTCTATTGTCATCTCCTTGTTGTGTGCCCCAGAGTTCTCTAGCAGAACAGAACATGGAGGGTGGGGATGTAGGCAGCAGGGCCAGAAGGAGGCCAGCTCTCTTAGAAAGGAAAGGGAGTGTGGAAGCAACACAGAAAAGTGGCCTCTTGCTTTGCTACTATTACTGTACTCACTTCAGAATTACCTCCCAACCTCCAAACCCCCAGTTTTGAAAAATCAGTGCAAATTTGGGAAACCGATGCTGTTGTTAACTGCATACAGAATTATCAAGCCTACGTTATTCTTTTCTAGGTGCCAACCGGAAGCTAAAAAAATCCCTGTCTCTCCTCTGTTCTGGTCTGTCTAAAGCAAGGAAAACACTAGAAAAAATTGCAAGGGTGAAAGAGTTGCTCATTGTGAAACTCTCCCAGGCCTTCTTGGATCAGGAATATAAATATTCTGTACTTATTATCTTTTCAATTATCAGTAATTTCAATGCCTCATGAGGGCATTTTTAGAATGCATTATGAGTTATTTTTGGTCCTCCTTTCCTTCCGGAAAATTTCTTCTATTTTTTTCCTCTATCATTTTCTATTCATTTTTCAATCATTCCCAGCCAATTAGTCTTCCTTTGAATTATAAGAGTAAAGGAAAAACTGGCACAACTTATATGACCAATAAATTAGTTGAAAGAAGTCAAAGGTCCAACAAAAAGGAATTAATTGCAAGAACTGAATATTCTACAGTTGGTAAACTGCATATATTAGGTCATCTGATTTTTGACCATACTGACTTAGCTTAATTGCTTTTAATAAACTCATGAAAAGATAACCGAAGGTGTATGATTATAAGCGATGGGATGTTCTTCATGACAAAAATTCTCCCCAAGTTTGGATTTATATTAAAGAAGTTTCTTCTTGTAATGACACTGTACCATTACTCATTAGTTTATTTAATGACTGTGTAATGAATGCATGTATGCACAGGGGAATATTCTGGAGCTTGGGATACATCAATGAACATACCACACAGAGATTCCTGAGTGTGAGGTTATGTTCAGTGACCACAAATTCTTTTTTTTTTTCTTTTTAAGATTTATTTATTTATTTTAGAGAGTCAGAGCACAGGTGGGAGGGGCAGAAGGAGAAGGAGAGAAAATCTGAGGGAGACTCCGCACTGAGCGTGGAGACTGATGTGGGGCTCATTTTCACAACCTTGAGATCCTGACCTGAGATGAAACCAAGAGTCAGATGCTTAACCAACTGCACCACCCAGGCAGTCCCCTCCCCCCCACTGAAAACAAATTCCTAACATATTTACTTCCCAAAGATTAGCCAGATAAACCCATAGTTCCTTGTGAAGGAACTGATTCAGTCACCAAAACTGACAACAGCCAGAATCTTATTCCAGGTGAAAAATGGTCCTCTTCCCAAGCCCCAGTAGTTCCTATCCAGAAAACCCAAGTAAACTCATCTCATGCAAGGATGAGTTATAAAGACTCAAGGACTTGGAGAGCTTATCATGTAAGATATAAATACCATTCCCTGCAGAGCCACTTGCATTCAAAATTCCTTTTTAAAATGGACCACTATCACCATCTTTTACATCAAAACAACGTATGGTATTTTAATTCTGAGTTAACTTCTCTATTAGTATAAGTTACAATGTAACGTGGAAGAAAAGTCATCTGGAATGGCGACACAAATCAACCACAACAGATCTTTACTCACCACTGGAAACATATTAAAAATATTCTCTCTAATTAGGATTTCGTTTTTGCTTTCCACCTCGTAGCTCATGTTGGTCCCAGCTGGAGTGTTGTTCTGAGAAACAATGAAGTTTTGAGCAGCATTACAACAGGAAGCAAGTTTTGCTCTGCAAAGGGGAAGAATAAAAGCGAACCATGCAACGAGATTAAGAAACCACAAATAGAGGCTACAGTGGAAAATGCAAGAGGATTTTTTGCCATATTGGCTTTCAGAAAGAAGAGAAATCATTCACAAAGTTGACATTTGTATCTCTTTCCAGTCTAAGTGGTCCCTAGTAGGACCAAAGAGTGAAGAATGCGAAACATACTTATGCTCAGGTAGGGATCCTCTCACCGACAGAAAACATTCATGAACATAATGGTTCCCATATAAAAATGTCCTCCTAATGATAATGTTGTAACATTAAGGAGAAAAATTACAGGATAAACTGCAATTATTTTACAATAAAGTAGAATAACTGAATTAAGAACAATGTTACAAACTGTCACCAAAGCAACATGTAGTCATTTACTAGGAGATGAGTCCAATAAAAGAAAAATCATTCAATACAGTGATTTGTTTCTAGCTTTACTGATATAATTCAGGAGCACAAATGATTTATATTTAAGGTGTTCAAGTTCATGTTTTGCAATGTTTATATGTTGTGGAATAATCGCCACCATAATCAACCCTATTGACATATCCATTACCTCACATAATTATCATTGTTTTCTTTTCATTTTTTTGTTTGTTTGTTTTGTTTTTTTGTGGTAAGAACAGTTGATATTTACCCCTTTAGCAGATTTTGGGTATACACTATAGTACTGCTATCCACAGTCACCATGCTGTGACCTAACACAGGGAATTTCTGAGTGAAGCGAGTTTAAGTTGCCATTCCTTATAGAAAGAACATAATTTAGTACCAAGCTCTGTTTCAAAACTTACATGTTTTGTATGTATTTCACTCAATAATGTTGAGTGAAACATTATTAATAGAACATAGACCCAATTAAGTCCTTCCGGTGATTATCAGGGCTCGCCCCCAACCTCTAGCCTGTCAGTCTAGATCCACTCAGAATTTTTATTTTGTTTACATAATTCTCCAGGGATGCAAAATCCCAGTATCACTTGACAATTATTCCAGACTTTAATCAACCCTGAAGTCAAGAGATCCTTCCATTTGTACAACTCTACCATCTCTTAACTTGAATCCAATTCCCTTGTTTATTTTTTCATAGAATCTCTCCATTAAAACACTTCATGAAATTGAAAATGGTAATCATCAAAGGGAACTTGAACCTTTTCAATCTGGAAGCACTGAGAGAAGTTCCTCTTCTTTCAGATTTTCCTCCTAGGACCAGCTTTTCAATATTTTAGTCATCTTGTTCCTCTTTAAGCTTTTACGTATTTTTCCATAAAATAAAATAATATAAAATAATATACCTATTATAAAATACCTATCAAGGGGCACCTGGGTGGCCCAGTGGGTTAAAGCCTCTGCCTTTGGCTCAGGTCATGACCTCAGGTCCTGGGATCGAGACCCACATCGGGCTCTCTGCTATGCTTGGCGGGGAGCCTGCTTCCTCCTCTCTCTCTGCCTGCCTCTTTGCCTACTTGTGATCTCTCTCTGTCGAATAAATAAATAAAATCTTTAAAAAAAATACCTATCAAACAGACTCTTAACTACAGAGAACAGAAGTTTGCTGGAAGGGAGGTGGGTGGGGGAGTGGGTTAAATGGATGATGAGGATTAAAGAGGGAACTCGTGATGAGCACTGGTTGTATGTAACTAGTGAATCACTAAAAAATTCTAGTACTGAAACTAATATTACACTATATGTTAACTAACTAGAATTTACATAAAAACTTTAAAAAAAGAAAAAAATATGTACCAAAGCTGGATCCAATTATAGCACAAAGGACAGTGAATATTCAGTGAATAGGGCTGACATGCTCATTGCTGATATCCTAGATTTGAAACTGGTCCAGCCCCATTTATTGGTTTTGGTCCTGAACTTCTGTACAAGTTCCTATTGAATTTTCTCCTTTTGAAAAAATATAATGCTCTAATCTGTCACAGTCATTTTGAATTATATTCCAGTCTTCAATAATTCTCTGGGTATGGAAAGTCAGGGCTTTGATGTTATTTGTACCCTAAAAATCAATATTTTCAATAGTATTTATCAGTTAATTTATATCATTAAAATAATACATTCTTCTTAGTTGTATTCTATCACCTGTTTATTTTCCCTCTTCAGAATTCAGAACCTACCATGTCTTCAAGATAGCTCATGGAGATTAACAAAAGGAAAAATTGAAAATGAAATGACATATAGTCAAAAAGATGATACTCAAAAACATGTAGTTTTTTAATTTTAAATTTAATCTCCTAACAATTCAATGTGGCATATTTCAAATTCAGAAATCCTTATGTGTTTATCATTCTAAATGTCTCTTTTATGCAATATTTCGAGCAAAGGTAATGGAATAAACTCTCATTTACCTTCAACAAGTAGCTCAATTTCTCTAAGGACATTCAGTGCTTAAAAGAACATTGCATCCCCAACCTCCCACCCCCCCACCTCTTCAAACGCTTCAGATTGTTTTTCAGAGTCCATAGTCTCTCATTGTTCACCTCCCCTTCCAATTTCCCCCAACTCCCTTCTCCTAACTCCCCAGGTCCTCCATGCTATTTGTTATGCTCCACAAATAAGTGAAACCATATGAGCACGGATTGCATGGAGCACTGGGTGTGGTACAAAAACAATGAATACTGTTATGCTGAAAATAAATTTAAAAAAATGATAAAAAAAGAAAGAGAACATTGCATCACCAAAAAGCAAAACAAAACAAACGAAAAAAAATGAACCAACCAAACAAACAAAAAAATCTAACTGTTGTGCCCTTGTGGTTTTTTTATATTAATAGTTTTTTTCTGAAATTACATTCTTAACTTCGTATTATAACATTTTCAAACCTAGAGAAAAATGCGAAGAATTGGACGAGTACTTGCATAACTTCCAGCTAGATTCTACAATTAACTTTTTACATTTGCCTTATTGTGCAGCCATCAGTCCATTTTTATTGTGGTGGTGGTTACAATTCAAAGTCAATACAGAGATCAGTACGCTTCCATCCTAAACACCTCAACATGCCTATCATCATTTTGTGTACATTTTGGGGTAAAATTTACATAAAATAAAATCATAAGCACATTTGAGGAGTTCTGAAAAATCTGTGCACCCTTGTACCCCAATCTCCTATCAATATACAGAATTTTGCAAGCACTCTAGAGAATTCCCTCATATCCCTTCCCAGCCTGTCTGCAGCCCTCCCCTACTCTTGTGATTAATTTTTATCAAAGATCAAGTTTTGAATGTTCTAGAATCTATTTAAGCAGAATCGTATAGTACATATGCTTTTGTGTAAGACAACTTTCTCTCAACATAAATTCTCTTACGATTCATCTATGCTGCTGTGTGTATCAGTAGCTTGTTCTTTTTCACTGCAGGAGGAATATTCCACTGTATGGCTGTGCCAGAATCTGTTCAGATATGGCCTTTGCACTTAAAAAAAAAAATCACTATCGGGTGCCTGGGTGGCTCAGTGGGTTAAGCCTCTGCCTTCAGCTCAGGTCATGATCTCAGGGTCCTGGGATCGAGCTCTGCATAGAGCTCTCTGCTCAGCAGGGAGCCTGCTTCCCTCTCTCTCTCTGCCTGTCTCTCTGCCTACTTGTGATCTCTCTCTGTGTCAAATAAATAAATAAAATCTTAAAAAAAATCACTATCAAAAATCCATGTGAAACACCTTATCACTCATAATAACCTCCCAAGAAAAATATCAGTAATTATCCAAAATTTCATTTCTGGAGCTTGTTTTTACTGACCAATGGGATGCTTTTTTTTTTTTTTAATAATTTTATATTTTATAAACATATATATATATATATTTTTTCCCCCAGGGGTACAGGTCTGTGAATCTCCACGTTTACAAACTTCACAGCACTCACCATAGCACATACCCTACCCAATGTCCATAACCCCCCCCAACCCCCCTCTGCCCAGCAACCCTCAGTTTGTTTTGTGAGATTAAGAGTCACTTATGGTTTGTCTCCCTCCCAATCCCAACTTGTTTCATTTACTCTTCTCCTACCACATTAACCCCCCATGTTGCATCTCCTTTCCCTCATATCAGGGAGATCATATGATAGTTGTCTTTCTCCGATTGACTTATTTCGCTAAGCATGATACCCTCTAGTTCCATCCATGTTGTCGCAAATGGCAAGATTTCATTTCTTTTGATGGCTGCATAGTATTCCATTGTATATATATACCACATCTTCTTTATCCATTCGTCTGTTGATGGACATCTAGGTTCTTTCCATAGTTTGGCTATTGTAGACATTGCTGCTATAAACATTCGGGTGCACGTGCCCCTTCGGATCACTACGTTTGTATCTTTAGGGTAAATACCCAGCAGCGCAATTGCTGGGTCATAGGGTAGTTCTATTTTCAACATTTTGAGGAACCTCCATGCTGTTTTCCAGAGTGGTTGCACCAGCTTGCATTCCCACCAACAGTGTAGGAGGGTTCCCCTTTCTCAATGGGATGCTTTTTAAAGCTGCACATTCAGTGGCAGAATTATAAATTTATGTTGTTCCTTCCCAGCTCATCCATGTGGCGGACGTCCCTGTTGTTACAGCGTCCATAGAAAGCTGAGTGAGGTGCATAATACGAACAGAACAAAATGGAATTTAGTCTCTGCTACTCCATTTCCCATCCTCCTAAAGAGTGGCTTCTGATCTTTGGTGACTCTAACGTCAACTACGTATGTTCGCAATTATGGGCACACAGCACTCTTCCCCTTCTTATATAAAAAGCAGGAAATCATGTAAAAGAAAAAAAAAAAGGATGCTACTGGTATGTGATGATTAACTTTATGTGTTGATCTGGGCCATGTCAATGTCACGAGAGCTGATAAAACACTATTTCTGGGTCTGTGAGGGTGTGTCCAGAAAACATGAGCTTCTGAATTGCTGGACTGAGTAAAGAAGATCACCCTGCCCAGGGCAGGTGGGCCTCATCTAATCTGTTGATGGCCTGAGTAGAAGAAAAGATGGACAAAGGCA